CAGGAGGAGGAGGAGGAGGAGCAGGAGCCTGTTCATCATCAGAACCATGTTTTTACTATGGTGTGAAACAGTGACACCTACAGGTAACATTCATAAACTGTGGATAAAGATGGACGACATGTTAGCTCCCAAAACTGAAGCCGAGACGTCTTCATCTCCCCCTGGTGTCTAACGGCAGTATAAACCCCTCCTCCTCCATGTTAGCAGATGGGACATTCAAACTAAAACTCGAAGATGTTTCTGTTGTTTCAGCTCGTTCTGACCTCACTGATGTTTGTTCAAGTGTTTCTCATCAGTTTGGTTTGAATATTATTAAAGTTATCGTATAAACTTTGTTATTTGATGATGTAAAAACCAGCAGGGGGCGGGACCTCGATACCACGATCACTACGTCATCTCAAGACGTTTGTATCCGACATGTTGGAGCTTAAATCCTGGAGGAAGTGGAGACGTCGTCTTTATCTACAGTCGATGTTGTTTATCATCAGCAAGTTATTTCTTTATTGTTATTTTAATCCAGAGATGAAGAGAAAAGAAGCGAGTGAACACAGAGGACGAATATTATCCAGTGTCCATTTATTTATTCATCATTCACTACTTTAATTCTAAACATTTTTTTTAAGAAATTCAAGTATTTGTTGGGAACACAAGTCAAAAAAACAAACAAACCTTTTTGCTAAAACAAAGACGAAAAACATCAGTTTCATATTTATATTAATAAACACATCAAGTTTCTTTTCATAGAAGAAAACAAGTCTAATGTCTATAGATGACCAGCTGTCCGTCTCCAACGTCTAAAACTGACCCGACAGAAGCTGAGAGACTCTGAGCACACTGGTCAGCTGATCTGAGAACAGAGCGCAGGGCGGGAAAAGACCAAACCGGTCGTCTAGATTAAAAACTGCTCCTAAGCTGGAAGGATCTACGAACACAACAACAACAGAAGAAGAAAAAAATAAGGAAAAAAAAGCCCAGAGACAAAAGTTTGGTTTAATTTTTCCAGAAACGAGTCTCAAACAAACCGGATGATTAAATTCATGATCTGATCTCGAGTGTTAGCGATTCCTTCGTCCCGTCACTTTGTTTATAAACAAGAAGTGATCGTCAGAATATTCGATTTGTGATTTTCAGGTACTTTTCTAAAATTATTATTTATCTAAAATTCTGCAGATACATTTTCTCTGCTTCTGTTTCCATCAAGTTTCTTCAGAGAGACATTTTGTTTTATTCACGTCTTAATCTGCAGCTTCGTTATTAAATTATTGTAAATGTGAGTCGACTGAGAATCAACTGTATCTGATCCTATTCAATGTTATTGGACTTGTTATAAAAAATCCATGATTTCAATAATCTTTGAGCTGCAGCTTTGGTTAAAACTTCGATTCACCACATCTGAGGATCTATTTACAAGATTCTGACTAAACTACGATGAACGATACACGAGTCGTGAGAATCGTCACCTCGGATTCATCATTTCTGCACAAACATTAAGTCAGTAAAAGATAGTGGAGTGTTAAAACAGAATAAATAAATCATGATTCAAAAATCAATTAGTAAAAAAAAAAAAGGATCAGAATTGTTTTGTTTTTTTAAATCTGGCACCAATAACGTCACTGACGCGTTTATTTGCAGCAACATTTCAATCGTATCGTGAATCAAAAACATTCCTGCATCAAACCATCGTGAGCGAACGACTCAGTAACAGAACGTTTCTGGAAAAATTCCTCAAAACGTTCTCGACTCTGGACTCGATAAAAAGTCTAATTAGATCACAACAAACAAAAAAACTGAAAACTTCTAATAAAATCACTCGCTAAAGATGAATTAAATAAAAATTACCACAAAATGTACGTTTCCGTCTTCGACAAACTCAACCATTGCACAGCATTCAAGCCCAAACGCTCTCCGCCGATAAATATACACATGCAGATTTACAAGTCGTCTCGTGTTTTCAGAGATGTTCCTGTGGAGGAGCTGAGGTTTCAGGGTTCAACATCTGGAGACCGCAGGGGCCGACGAGGACGCGTGGGGAGGAGGCCCTCGGGAGCCCCGCCTGCTGGAGGTTCAGGGTATGTACAACAACAAAAAAAATCCAATTCAGATGAAGTTCCTCGAAACTCGCTGCAGGAACCGAGGAGCCACAGGAACTGGAGCAGGAACTAAAGGTTCCTTCACGTCTCAGCTGGTCGGAAGACAATGAACCAAAGATTTAAACAAAGAGCGGACGAGATGAACCGCTGGCGTTTCCGTGTCGACAGCGTCGGGCACCTTTGGCACGAGTCGACCCATTTGTTTAAGTTCCTGAGATCCTGAAAAGGCTCCTGGCAAAGTTCCTGCAGTCAAAGAGCCCAAACGTCCCGGGGGCCACATGGAGCCAGCTGATGGTTTCACACGTTTCCTGTTTTAACTCAATCTGACGTATTTGATCTTTTCCTTCATGACATCACTGTTGGTTTTCATGAACGTTCAGAGGCGTGAACGTGCTGCAGCTGTTTCAGTCCTAACGTTTTTCACTGGTGACGAAAACAAATGATGAAAAGTTGTCGACTGAGAAGCTTCAGCATCGAACTGCAGCCGAGTGTCACGTCTCTGAAAGTTCATTTTCAATCAGAGAAACCAAAGAGCTGGAAAAACAACAGGTCGTCGCTCTGGTGGAAATGATCTGAATCAGATAAATATTAAGGAAAATCAAAGCCCCCTCAGATAACAGCGTTCTAACATCTGATCCCGTTCATCACTGATCCTCGTGGTGCGTCCTCACGCGTCACAGCTGACGTACGGACACCTGAGCCTGAAACTGAACAGGAAGTGAAACGAAAACCAAAGAAAAAGAAAAACAGCAGCATTTCTCCGACAATGTCCTTCTCTCAAAACCTCACCATTCTGAGGAGCGGGGCGAGAGACGGGAGCGAGCACGAGGTAAAGAATCCAGAGGAATGGCGGCAAACACGTGATGGGAGGGGTCACTCTGTAGATATGCACAAAATCCCACATGCAGCCGCGTGCGGCCGCGTGCAGCCCCGCGGTCCTCAGCCTTCAGTTTGTGTTCCTCCGGGGTTTGAGGTAACCGAGGGCGAGCGGGTGGAGACTCACTCTCTTCAACAGACACTCAATAAATTAAGAAATTTACACAAAAAGAGAAATCATCTTTCTCTCCGCTGGTGGTCAGCAGGAAAACGTGACACGTGTTGGTGAGTTCACGTGTTGGTGAGTTCACGTGTTGGTGAGTTCACGTGTTGGTGAGTTCACGTGTGGGTGAGTTCACGTGTTGGTGAGTTCACGTGTGGGTGATTCCATAATACATGCTGAGGTGAGAAGAAACTGAAGCCAAACATCTGTAGTTTTGGCGAAACACAGTTTGAGACGATTGAAACACTGACAGACAAATTTCAAAATAAAGGTTTTCTGGAAAAGAAAACTGGGGAATGAGTTCCTGTTTCCTACGCGTGTGTGTGACACGAATAAACTCTTATTTCTCTTTGCTGAATGTGTCTCAAGAAAAACAATAAAAGAAAAATCTGGAACTGTGGTTAGAACCTGCTACATCCGTTAAATTGCATCGTTACCGCTGTGGACGCACGACGGCTCCGAGCGGAGAAAACACAGTGAGTGATGTGTTCAAATGCAGTGAAACAAAAGGTGACGGGTGGATGATGGGCGATGTCGTCCTCGTGACGAGTCGGTTCGGCTCCGATTATTCAGTTTCCTGTGTGGTTTTCAAACTGTACTGCACGGGGCTGGAATGACTTCAAAAAAAATAAAATCAAAATCAACTAAGCAACAATCTACCAAACAATTAAAATCCTTATTCCTAACGAACAGTACCGAGGTTCACGTCTCTTCCTCTTTCTTATTCCTCCGAAACATTTCAGCAGCATTTTTTAAAAATCGGAAACAGCTCGAGCGCTAAAAGAGTTCAACACTGGATTTCAAATTCAGGGAAAAAATAATGGAGGATTTTCCGGAGGTGGTTCGGCCGTTTTCTCCTCCACAAATATTTTTTTTAAAAAGAGGGGGTGGAGGGTGGAGGGTGGGGGGAGGGGGGTGGGGACTCTTCGACGCTGCTGATGGAATCTTTTCTCAAACTGCCGTCGCCCCCGAAGCCGAAGAGGAGGACGCTCATCTCTCCTCCTTCCTGGACACCTTCGACGAGTGCCACGCTGTCGACCTGAAACAAAATGTTCAAAAGGTTTTTCCTCAGTTTTAATCTCGACCTTCCTCAGATGTTCAGATCTTCAGTTATTATCAGATCTGATGTGCCCTTTGTTTTTCACTGTTTACATGTCATGATAAATGTAGTTTATTGAGGTTAAAGGTTTTTAAATATCAGTGAATGAGTTCAAGTCCATCACAATCTGAGCTCCGCCTCTTTACCTGATGAAGGTCTTGAACGCAGCGCTCTGAGGGTTGATGCACAGCGGCACACGTTTACCCTGCTGGTGCTCCGTGATGAAGCGGTGGATTAACTCTGGTGTTAGGGAGAGAAGAAGAAGAAGAAGAAGAAGAAGAAGAGCGTCACACACAGATGATGAAGATCTGTCGTCCTTCCGCTGCTTTTAAAAAATCCTGTGATTGTCTCAGACGAGCTGGTTTCTGTTTGTAGGATGACGTCATTATTCACCGTTCTTCACCTAATTTGATTTTGAAAGTTATTTCATATTTATCTTTAAGTTTACGGTGACACTTCACTTCTTCTGTGAACCCGAGACTTTGGCAAAAAACATATCAAGTATCAAAACGTGTCACCCACGTTTTTAAAAGTGAATTTTCAGGAGCTTTGTTCCCGACATGAGAACCAGGATGAATAACGTGTTTGGATAAGATCTGTTTCAAACTGATGAAGATTTGATTCTGTTAAACGACGTCCTCTGACCAGAGACGACATACAGATGTGAATTCACATGAATCATCTGAACAGACTTGTTCATCACACGACCCCGACTTGATTTCTCACGGTCTGGTCACTGTGTTGCCATGGAAACAGCCTTATAATGATGACGACAACAGCAGGAGTAACAAGTCAGTCGTACCTTTTCCCTGCCACACCGACAGCAGACTGTTCTCGTAGCTGTGGCTGAACGGCCGCTCTGCGACCGGCTCGAAGTCTCGGGTGTAAACTCGTCCGCTGGGAACCGAGTAGCAGCACTGACACATGCAGGTGTGGTAACGCAGACGCCCTTCGTCCAGGTACGGGTGGGAGAGGGCGTCGCTGCCGGAAATCCTTTTAGCCTGGAGAGGAAGACAATCGAGAGGTTTGAGCTGATGAACCGAAAACTGATCCAGAAACTGTTTCAGCGGGTTCGCTCCGTGTTTTTACTGGATCCAGTCGCACAGCGTCGTGTGAACTCACCGGATCAAAGACCAACATGCGACAGAGCAGGTGCACGGCCTCGTGCGTGGCTCCGTCAGACAGCATGTAGAGCACCGACAGCGACGGCTGAGGAGGAAAATGAAGCTGCTTTATCAATGTTTTAAGAATCTGTTGTGATTCTGGAACTCTTCTGTTTTTCACTTTAAATATTTTCTTATTTTTCTTTGCAGTGTTGAGCAAAGTATTTTCCTGTGAGGCGTGAAAGAGACTGAAGTCAAAGATCTGTTGTTTGAACAGGATGTTATGTGTTTTATGTTTTTGGATAAGAACAACACGTCGACGCGTCGTCTCGGAAGATGAAACTTGTCTGACAACAGAACCTGGTTTGTTTGTTTGAGCGAGCGGATCGTCACGTACCGGTTTGTGCGGCCCCCTCAAGATGTGAGCTCTGGCTCCTTCACAGGCTGACGCCAGGGCCGACAGAGGGGGGGTCCCCAGCAGGTCGGTGATCAGGTCCAGCTGGTGAGAAGAGAAGCGAGGACGTCAGACGGAACTGACCACAGATCAGCTGTTTGAATAAAACCTAAACCTGCTCTCACCTGCTGAATCGGGCTCTGAGCCTGGAAGAGGATACGTCGTCCCAGCAGCTCTGCGAAGATGCAGCCCACCGACCAGACGTCGATGGCCGAGCCATAGTGTCGGCAGCCCATCAGCACCTCGGGGGCTCGGTAGTACTGAGTCACCACCTCCTGTGTCATGTGACGCGACGGGTCAGGCTCCTCCACACGAGCTAACCCGAAATCACAAATCTAACCAGAGACAAAATGAATTATGATACTCAGACTACAACTCCCATCATCCCACACTGCTTCACCACCACATCAAGAACATCCGGTGGTAAAGTGACATTAATAGATTTAAATATTATCACGATGAACGAGAAGAAGTTTTTTTTTTATTTTATCTCCTCAAGAAAAACATTTGGACATTGGTCAGTTTTTAAGTTGGGAAGTAAAATGAAACTTAATAATCTTTCGTTCTCATTTTGATGTTTTTTGCAGATTAAACTTAAACTTTTAAAAGCAGAGAGAAATCTGAGGTTCACCTTGAGCAGACAGTTGCTGTTGACCAGCAGGTTTCCAGGTTTGATGTCTCTGTGCAGGATCCCAGCAGAGTGCAGATACTTCAAACCTGAACAAACGACAACCGTCAAATCTCTGTCGTCTCTCCTGCTCGCTCACGTCCCAGAAAGCTTCGTCCACACTGATACGTTTGTTTAAAAACTAAATCCACCTCCGCGTTCGAGCTCCTGTCAGTGACTGTTCCGGCTCATCGTCACTCTTACTTTCCACCATCGCTGTTCCTCGTAGTATTTTCTGTAACTAAGAAACCGATCAGAGTAGAAACTCCACTTCCTGTTTGCACCACATGACCAGTGTACTTGGTCATGTGACATGGTTTTTTGTAGATTATTTCTTATACAAAGCTGAAATGCTCAAGTGAACGGAGGTGGGTTTAGTTTGGAGTTAGAAGAAGGGATGTTGTTCTTCTTCTTCACTGTGCAGGTGTGTCGTCTGTGTGACACAGCCGACAGGGCTACAGGCCGAGTAAAGACACGAGCTGCTCACCTCGGAGGATCTGGTAGAGGAAGACCTTGATGTGGTCGGTGGTGAGAGGCTGAGGAGACACGATCACTTTGTGAAGGTCGCTCTGCATCAGCTCTGTTATCACGTAGCTGCGGGGGGGGAACAGTCAAGGAACATAAAAAGATGACACACAGGCTGACCTCCACCCACACGAGCACGACGCATCTCCGAACATGAGGCTCGGTCTGACTCAGGAGAGAGGACGCGGTTTCTTAACCACAAGAATCATAGAAACAGGTTTACCGTCAACTATTCACATGAAATATTCACCAGTGGTCGAGCTGACGTCTGCAGAGAGGAGCTGCATTTAGAGACGAGAAGCTAAATTAAGTGAATAAAATGAGGACATAAGAGACGACCGATGAAGAGAAACTGGGACAGACGGTGCGAGGACGTAAATGTTTGTAATGAGTGAGGAGATACGCCGTCGATACGCGTCTGTTCATGTGCTAACATTAATCAAAGGGCATCCTGACTTCTGATTGGATGTGTGATTAGGACAAGGATACATTTCCTCGAAGCAGTCGATCTGCGGAGGCTGCAGAATATCCAGAGCCGACAGAACCTGTTTGAAAACAGAAAAGGACAAACACAAAAAAACATGGGGTCATTTTTTCCAAAATCATCTCATCAAAAAACGCCACGTGTCCCCTTCGCCCTGTTCTTACGTTGTCGTGTTTGAAGAAGCACAACATCCGCAGCTCTCTGAAGACCCTCTTACAGGACACCAGGTTCTGGAAGACGTTGGGCATCTTCTTCAGAGCCACTTTCCGACCGTCCCGGGGATCGGTCACCGACCTGCAGGACGTCAAGAATCACAGGTGGAGATTAGTCGCACGTTCGTGTCAAGTAAAGTTTCTGAAGACGAGCTCCTGTAGAACATCTGACAGAACTTCACTCTGCAGCTGGTTCATATGAATCATTTCAAGTATTTGTAAAACATGAATTTGTTCCAGCGTCTTGTGATGATTTAACACTTTGCTCCACTGGATGTTTTTGGATTCTTTATTAAACTTCTGGATGTTTTCACTGTTTTCTGCTGTTAGCAGTGAAGGATCATAAAGATGATCGGTGGTCACAGTCTTGAGACTAAACATGGTGGATTGTGTCCGTCCTGGGAGGAGAATCCTTCACATGTGTTTCTTTTCTGTAGTTTTACTCTCGAGGGTTAAGAACAGAGGACGTCGCACCTTGTTCAGCTTTATGAGATGATTTGTGTTTGGTGACAGTAACATCATGGATGGATCGTATAAAGAGTTGAATGAATGAACTCCTGTGGTGACCGTGCAGATTGTTACCTCATCAACTACTTTATGCTTCCACCCTGTTAGTTTGTCTGTTGGCAGGATTACACAAAGGTTTCCTGTAAACTGAAGGAACACGAAGAAGAACTCTTCACATTGAATCCAAACATGGATCTGAACATGGGGAGAACCAGTTTGATCAGTTTCTACAGTGAGCAGAGAATAACTCATGGATCTGATGGAATCCTTTACTGATATTTAAGAGTCGTTTGGTTTAAGTGGAGACTTGATGGAGGTTTGAGCTCTGACGTCTACTTCTGGAAAGTTTTACCGATGATTTATTTCACCGAGGAACAATAATATAGTTTTAATAAAACACAGAGCACCTTGTTCACCGTGTGTGTGTGTGTGTGTTGAGGACATGTCATGGCCCTCACGCATGTTTTCTTACCACACGACACCAAATGCGCCATAACCGATGGGGCGGTCGGGCTCCATCTCTGCGGGGCTGGGCACCTCGCTGGCCGGGTTGCTGTAGGGCTGAGGCACCGCCGCTCCGCCGCCGGCGCTTCCTCCGAGAGCAGTGGGGTGACGAGGGGTCCCGGCCGGGGCGGTGGGTCCGGTCAGGCACGGCGTGGCGCTGAGGCCCGTGGATGGGGCCCCGCAGGAGGAGTTCACACAGAAATACTTGTGGCCCAGCTCAGAGCCCGGAAACAGGTCCCCGCACACGGTCTGCCGACCCGCACCGTGAAACGCCATCCTCCGCTCCCACCGAAACAGTCCACTTCGTCTGGGCGGCACCAAGCTGCTGCTGCGCGGCTACGCTCGGAGGAAACGCGGCCCTTCAGTCAGCATGACCCGGTACCATCCTGTGAGAGGACACGACGAGTTAACACCGGGGAAGTTCACAACTGAGCCCGGTGCCGAGACGGACACGAGTGGGACCGGCGGCTGCAGCCGGACCGGGGCTCCACTGTCCGGGACAAACACGTTAAAAGACCCCGACCACCCACCAGATCCGTCCACTGTGACCCGGGCTGAGTTACCTCAGCTCACCTGGTTAGTTAGCGGAGCTGCTCGTTAACTCGAACAGCGGCTAACGACCGTCAGCTCCACAATACCGAGAGAAGCAGACACTAAACCCGCCGGAGAGCTCGGACAGCCCGGCTGCAGAGAACCAGAGCCCCGAGGAGAAGACGTCACGGGGGCTAAATGTTGAGATTGTTCTTATTCAGGAAACTCGGGTTAGCTCGCTGCTAACCAGCTGTTCCAGCTAACGGGTTACCGCTGACCCACATACACACAGGCGCTGTTCACGGTGACCCACATCCTCCACGCCGAACCCCCGAGCACACGTTCGTGTCAAACACTTACAAACCCACGCAGATCCACCAGCGACGGTTCCGAAGGGAAGCAGCCCGAAATGAGACGCCCGTCGCCGGAGCTCCTGCCCCCGGCTCCTGGAGCTAACCGGATCGTTAGCTAGCAGCTAGCTGGCCATCGCGTCGCTAACCCGCCGCAGCAGCGTCACACAAAGACGGTGACCGGAGGTGGAATGGACGGGTCGTCCACCGGGTCCGTTTAAATTCGACGTTAATCCAGAGGAGGCGGATTTGCGGCGGCTCTTCCAGCAGCAGGCGGCTGCAGCTAGCGGGTTAGCCGGTGGAGGAGGAGCTGCTGAGCCGGGTGGGGGAGGGTCGAGGCTCCGCTGTAAACAAAGCTAACTGTCGCTAGCTGCTGCTGCTGCGGCCCCCAGGAGCCACGAGCTCCGCTGCTCCAGCCCAGAGAGACAGAGGGGCCCCGGGCCCCGACTTCATTTTACCACCCCGAGAGTTTTCAGCAGGGCAGGATTATACCCGGGCCCCCAGGGGCCCCACAGCCCCAGGTCCCCCCTCTGATTAGTTTTCCCTCAGTTACTCTGAGAAGCTTCAGGCTGGAGCTGCACACGAGCATTTCAATGAATCCAAGTCTGAAGCTCAGGGAGAGGAACATGAAGATGTTCAGAGAACAGAGAGGATTCAGTCACTCATGAGCAACAATCAGCTGGAACTCTAAATGACATTCACGTGTTTCATGAGGATTCACATACATGTCGATAAGAAACCAATGGTCACCAATAGTGGTGGTATTCAGGTTGTACTGTTTATATTCTTTAATTTAAATCCTAACTTATTACTTTTATCCACCTCTATTGTTTGAAGGTCCTCTTGCAACTCTACAGTTTCCCCCATCGTGGGACTAATATAGGATCAACTTGATATAAAGGGTTACCATCGTTCTGAGCTGGACTCCTGATGCGGAGCTGGACCAGTTTGAGATCTGGTTTTAAGTCGGAAAGCAGGAACCTGTGAATTTATCAGGATTAATCAAAAAGTCAGTTCTGTCATCAGTTAATGAGCCAATCACTTCAGCTGTAGAGAGACGACATGTAGAGGTGGTTGTTTCTTATTACTTTGAATTCATTATCAGTGTGGTGGCTGCTCACTTCTAATTTATCCACAAAGAACAAAAGCACTGTTATCATGAAGAAGTGTAAGAGACAAAGAAGAGCGATGGAGGACGGATCCTTCTCCTCCAGGACGGAGAGAAATCTCAGGTTTTCAATGTAAATCTTTTAATCTGAAAAGTAACTAGATACTGAAGCTGTTGCTCAGTTACTGTGAATGTAACAGAGTGAACGTTTAAAATACTTCAAAGTAAAGTTCTGCTTCACGTCTCTGGTTACTTTCCACTGACATGGATAAAGTGCACAAACACTCAGACACCCATGAAGATCATTTCATTGTAAATCCACACATGCATTTTACTGCCTTTGACTACAGGAGTAAGGAGGCGCTATGCACTATGCATCAAATACAATCAATATGCACGGCCACGGAAAACGTGTCACCAAGGTAGCTACAAATAACATGTTACTTAACCTGTTCAAGAATTACAAATCAGCATAGGAACAAAGATCATATGAAGCAGAGGTTACACACATTCAGTGTTCATGAGGATTATTCACAAACGTCGAGGAGTTCGCCTTCATCGGCTCTAGAAAAGTGTTTGTGCACGACGTCGCTCCTGAAACTCGCTGCTCTGGCGAACTGGAGACGTTTTTAGTAATAAATTAGAGGAGAAGTCAAGTTGTGGAGGTGTTAAGGTCGATTCCCTCATCACAACCAAACACTGATTTCATGGAATATAAAAAATGTAAAAACAGCAAACAACTTTACAAAAGCATGACGGGCTGCGCAGGTAAAAACCAAAACGATGACATGATGACGAATAGAAATAGTAAACAGCGAAGCAAAGTGAACAAAAATACACATTTCTCCTCGTTTTGTCCTCTGATCCACGATCTGTTCTCGTCTGGGTTCAGGATCTGATGTCTGCAGTTCAGTAGCACGTGTTGGAGGCAGGACGATGGAACACGACTGAGCTGTCGCGTCTCGATGAAACCGGCGTGAGTCGTCCCCCGTTGGTCAGTGGACGAACAATCTGCAATGAGGAAATAAAAAGTTCTATTTTCTGTGTGAGTGACACAGAAAATAGAACTAAGCTAAATAACTACATCCCCCTGGTGGCTGACTGCAGTATAGCTCAGAAACCCTGCGTCCTCCATGTTAGCAGATGGGACATTGTTCAAAGTCAAAACTCAAAGTAGACGTTAAATAAAAGTTTGTCGTTGAATGTTTCTCACCTGGTTCGGTGGCTGCAGTTCCAGTTCTCTCCTCTATGTGTCCTCATTTCCCTGCCTCCATCCATCCTGCCCGTCCCACCCCCAGCTCCCCCCCCACCCCCCCAGCCCTCGCAGCGTGCTAGCTGTGAGGCTGAGGGGCGATACTGGAGCAGTCAGTTACCAGCAGTCCCACTGTGCTCGCAGCACTGGTCACAGTGACCGCCACACTGGTGGTGCCAACGGGGCCCGAGCTGGTCGGGTCAGTGCCGTGGTCGCCCTGGTTGGCGTGAGTGCCCATGTGACCCTGGAGTTGCGTGGTGGTCTTGCACTGCACGCCGCACAGCTGGCAGAGCAGCACCCCGCCGGCCCCCGTCCCACCGAACCCCCCCCGCGCCCCGCCGCTCTCCTTCCACTCCTGACCGTGGTGCTTCTGAGCGTGGACACGCAGGTAGGTGAGGGTGGTGAAGCCTGGAAAACACACACACACACACACACACACACACACACTTTTTTAGATCCCAGATCTTTATCGTACATTTTTCTGTGAATTTATGATTTTTCTCATTTTGGGGTCGATTTAAAGATTTATTTTGAAAATCCACCAGCAACTCGTCATGCCTTCCAGCTCGGTCACATG